GATGAATGTGCCTCACAAAATTGTCACAGGTATTAGCACCTCAGAAGCAACATGGAGGTGGTTTTTTAATGTTTTTGTTTGTTTGTTTGTTTGTTTGGAAATTTTAACTTTGGTGCAGAGTAGGACCCCATGTGCTCACAACTCAGTTTTACCCATAGTCAGCATTTGAGATGTGTGTTGATGGTAAATTATTGTGGGACTTAATTTTTGATGTGGTTAAGCTTGTGAACTGAAACGTCCATGCCTGGCACAGTGTGCAGATGTACACACAAGTCCCTGACATCCACCTGTGTTTTGTGTCCCTGTTTCAGGTGGAGGCGGAGGCAGTGTCCCCGGGATTGAGAGGATGGGCCCTGGCATCGACCGCATTGGCGGTGCTGGCATGGAGCGCATGGGCGCAGGCCTGGGCCACGGCATGGATCGTGTGGGCTCCGAGATTGAACGCATGGGCCTGGTCATGGACCGTATGGGCTCAGTGGAGCGTATGGGCTCCGGCATCGAGCGTATGGGCCCTCTGGGCCTTGATCACATGGCCTCCAGCATTGAGCGCATGGGCCAGACCATGGAGCGCATCGGCTCTGGTGTGGAGCGCATGGGTGCCGGCATGGGCTTCGGCCTGGAGCGCATGGCCGCACCCATCGACCGTGTGGGCCAGACCATTGATCGCATGGGCTCTGGCGTGGAGCGTATGGGCCCTGCCATCGAGCGCATGGGCCTGAGCATGGAGCGCATGGTGCCCGCAGGCATGGGGGCTGGCCTGGAGCGCATGGGCCCCGTGATGGATCGGATGGCCACCGGCCTGGAGCGCATGGGCGCCAACAACCTGGAGCGCATGGGCCTGGAGCGCATGGGTGCCAACAGTCTCGAGCGCATGGGCCTGGAGCGCATGGGCGCCAACAGCCTGGAGCGCATGGGCCCTGCCATGGGCCCGGCCCTGGGCGCAGGCATTGAGCGAATGGGCCTGGCCATGGGTGGCGGAGGCGGTGCCAGCTTTGATCGTGCCATCGAGATGGAGCGTGGCAACTTCGGAGGAAGCTTCGCAGGTTCCTTTGGAGGAGCTGGAGGCCATGCTCCTGGGGTAGCCAGGAAGGCCTGCCAGATATTTGTGAGAAACGTAAGTGGCTCTTTAGGAACTTCTAGATATTTCTATGCCATGGGTAGAGGTGGGAGGTAGAAGTTAGCGGGGCTTAATGGCGGCAAGTTGAGGTTAGAACTGATGCCCTCCTGGGGCCAGCAGGTGGCGTAGTGGTTAAGGCACCAGACTTTCACGTGGTCGGCTGTGGCTGAGTTCCAGACCCAGAAGCTTGAAACTCACACCTTGTGCGTCCAAGCTCTAGAGAGGAGAAGGAATTGTGGTGTGCCCATCCCCTGTGGGGGTGATTTCTCAGTTTCTCTCTCTCTGTCTCTTCGGTGAGCATACACGCCCCGTAGCAAAAATCTCTTTTAAAAAAAAAAAAAAGTGATGCCCTCTGGGCCAGCAGATGGCATGGAGATTAAGGAGCTGGATTCCACATGACCCACTCCATGGTTCGAGTCCTGGTGACTTTAAAAACATGCTGAACGTGTTTGCGCAAAATCCTGAGAGGAGAATGAAGGAGAAGGGGATTGAGCTGTGACCATCTCCCTGAGGGGTGATTTCTCACTTGCCCTCTCTCCCTATTTCTCTCTCTCCAGTGAGCACATGCGCCCTGTAGCAAAAATAAAACAAAAGTGGTGCCTTCCACAGGGGAGCCGAATGGCATGGAGAGTCCACCTTGTTCCTGTCTGTACAGTTTGGTGGGATAAGGAGGGAGTGTGAGAACTTAGGGTACACATGCAGCAAGAACAGCAGTTCTGAGAGAGCCTGGATCGTGCTAGATGACAGCAGACAGTGAACCAAAGGACTCTAGTTTCTGATTCCTTAACTTGAAGAGTGTCTAAGTCTTGGCACAATGACTTAAAGAGATGGCGATAACTGACTTATGTTACCAGCGTGGCCTCCATTAGCCACTGTTCACTGGCCCCAGGTGTCCTCATCTCTGCACAGTGCACCCACAGGCAGTGAGCCGGCTATCGCTGTTGCTGTCGGCTGTCGCTGTTGCTGTCGTAGAACGTCTTTTGTTTCACACTGATTGGCTCTGTTGGAGATGAGCCAGCTTCTCTGTGTACTAAGAAATCCTTAAAGTAACCCTCAGACAGTCGGGATATTTGTACATTAGAATTTGGTTGAATTATACCTCAGTCTCCCTTTTTCCTCCCTGCTCCCCCAGCTCCCGTTTGATTTTACATGGAAGATGCTAAAGGACAAATTCAACGAGTGTGGTAAGTGTCTGAGAAAGGTGCCGGGTGCTTTCACGTGTCGTGGCTCGGTGGTGGTGGTGTAGTTGCATTTGCGGTAAAGCTTCCATTCTAGATTTCATAGACACTTTCCCTTGACTCTACATGGGTCTTGTCTTGCCATCCTTCTGCCTGTGCAGATATTTGAGCAGGTTGTTGCTGAGTGTCCTTTTATGTGTCAGACAGTTTGCACCTGTGTTATTTCCTCCATAGCTGTTTCTTCCTTCCATTTTGGGTTTTTGAAAGTGATGAGTCAGGCAGAATTAGACATCCCAGCACATCTCATTCTGTGCCACAAAGAGCACTCACTTGCCGACAAGTGCCTCCAGTGTGAGGCTTTGCAGGGTCTGGGTGTACAGTGGCTTGTGTGTGATGAGACCTCAGGTCTCTGGTAGTGGCTTCTTGGCACACTGGGCAAGCTTCTGAGGCTTTTTGTGGCTGGAAGGAGGTTGTCCTCTCTCTCCCTTCCCTCTGATTCTGACCTTCTCCCCCTCCCCACCAGCCTGCACTTCACCACCTCTGTTCTTTTCAGCTCTAAGCCAGAGGTCTGGGTACTGCTAGATCCAGACTGCTTCAGTGTTTCCTCATTTCCTGTCTCAATAGGGCTTAGATTTCAACACCATTACCGCTTCTCCCTGATTCTCCTCCTGGAGTAAGCTGTTGAGCCATAGCCTGCCTTCTTGCCCTGTTCCTTCCCTCTCCCCATTCCTTCATTTCCACATTGTAGCTACATATTCCAAAGAACTCAGATCATGCCATTTCCCCACCTCTGAGAAAGTCTAAGTTGAAAGTCCCTTGACGTTTTGGTCCTGTCATTTTCCTCATCCCCCTCCTGTCCCTGAACCTGAGCTATAAGTGCTACAAGCACCCCATATGCTCTGGTGCAAGCTGTTATCAGCAGAAGTCTTTCTGATGAATCTCTTCTCAGGCTGTCAGACAACCTTCCCCTGGGCAAAGTGAGTGAGTGTTGAATTTTGGGCCCCTAGCACTGTCTGCACTGTTATTGTGCACTTGAACCCTTGGCTTCTAGGGTTCATCTCCTGTAGTATACCTGTTTCTGCAGTGCTTGACACATATTTGGATGCTTAATAGGTTCTCAATTGATGAGTGTAACCTGCCTGCTGGTTACTACATGGCTTACATTGGGACACTACAGTGTTGGCTGCATTGGCAATGGCTTTGTAACTGGGGTGTGGTGTATCTAAACAAAGTTTCTATAGAATTTGCCTATAAAGTTGGCTTTACTGGCCCCTTCTTCCTGAACTTCCTGGAGCATAAAATTGTACATTTGTAGCCCACTTGAAGGACTTACCATGAGGGCAGAAGAATGGCAGTGTGGACAGAGGGCTGCAGTTGTGGGTTCCTGCTGCTATGTTTGGAGCATTCATGCTCCAGGCAGGCCCAAGGGCCTCTCTGCCCTGTGTCAGAATCCACCAGGTGAACTGGACTGAGGGAGCCCAGTGTGAGGCTTAACTCATGAGTTTACCTGATGAATGTGGTCTTTTCTTCCCTCCCTGTGCCAGGCCATGTGCTGTACGCCGACATCAAGATGGAGAACGGGAAGTCCAAGGGGTGCGGTGTGGTTAAGTTTGAGTCGCCAGAGGTGGCAGAGAGAGCCTGCCGGATGATGAATGGCATGAAGCTGAGTGGCCGAGAGATTGATGTTCGAATTGATAGGAATGCTTAAGCAGTTGCCTTTTTTAAACATCGAGACCAGACCTCTGAATTTGTATTTTTTCTTGTTAACCATTTTAATTTGTTGGCTGGATGTATAAAGATGTTTAAAAAATTCAGTTGCTTTTTGGGGTAATTTGAATTACTTTTTTAATGACCGGGGTTCCATTTGACTGTTTGCATTGAGATTGCAATGTGCGCAATTTTTTTTGTAGTTGTGGCATCTTGTTGACATCAGATATGACTTTGATAATAAATACGAGTTCCTGAAAGTGGCTTGCTTTTGCGTATGTGTTGTGGGGGCAACTATCCAAGACCAGAAGCTGGTGCCACTGGGGCTGGAGACAGGAAACCAGGGACCTGAACCCCGTTTTGCTTATCTCTGGGCCCTGTGGTGGGGAGGTCATGGCCCTGGCCACGTTAGGAAAATGCCCTAAGGGACCCACATTCTGTGTGGTCTTTACTCCCAGTGCTTATGATGGAGTGTTTGGCTGTTTAGAGCTATTCCGAAAGCTGTTGTCTCCCTCTCTGTGGGGGCCAGACGCTGTTTCAGGCTCATTTCCAGTTTGGCTTTCTTTGCTAAAACAGATGGTGCAGTGTGCCAGTTCTCGGGCCTCTGTGGTTCTATCAAAGCTCTGCTCAGGCCGAGCTCCGTACCTAGACTCTCAGAATAGTGGGTGGCCCACTCATTGTTAGGTGCTCTCAGAGGTCTGCTGGAGTGAGGTAGGCGTTTGCAGCCCGCACAGGCTCTGGCTGCTGCTTTTCCTGTTAGGATGTGGAGGGTGGCAGATGTGTCCTTCCCCCTGGCCGTTCCCCCTTTAATGGCAGCTGACCCGGGGTCTGATTCCACCTTGCTTCCTTACCCACTTCTCCTTGCCACACACTCCTCCTTCATGGCCTTTATCCCTGAGGGGTGACCCCCCTCCACTGTCCCAATTTGATGAGGTTTCCTATGCCTTTGCTCCACTGTGTGCCAGTCAGAAGGGAAAGAAAAGACTGAGAAGCAGAGATTGCTTTAAATAAAGAGGCACTTTATGTGACCCATCATGAGCTTGGGCAGTTCTTTGACTTTGCCAAGCTGTAATCCAGGGCTCCTGATTCGCGGTGTCTGGGCTGGTGGGCTGTCCTGGGCCCCACACCTGTGGGCCTTACCGTCCCCGGGGGAATGGTTGGTTCTCCAGGGGGTCTGCCAACAAAGGGTGACTTCCAGTGACCTTATTTGCCGGGGCACCATAGCAAGCAGTCCCCGGGGGAGTCTGTGGTCCCATCCAATCTGCCCAGTGTCTTTCTACCTACCCCAGAAGGCGACATCATCATACACTTCCGTTTCCCTGAGAGAGAGCACAGTTGGGTCAGCCAGGGCACCCTAGTCCATTACCACCCACCCACCCACCCACCCATCAGTCCAGGCCAGCACTCACAGGGGCAGGAGAGCTATTCTGGGCACGTATCCATCTGTGGAGAGAGCAGAGGTGGGTGAATTCCTGGCCCCATCAGTGGCCTCTGGGGCTGTGTGGTAGGGTTCACTTACACTTCCCCTTGGGGTCCCGGCACAGCATCTCCTCACTGCTGGTGTACTCAATCACCTCCAGGATCTCCCCACGCCGGATCCCCAGGTGCTTGCCGCCCCCACGCCGGGTCTTGGCGTTAGGATCGATCATCATCTTCGTGTGAACCACAATTTCCCCTTCAAACTGGGAGTGAAATGTTGGAGCTTTTGCCTGTGTTGTCACTCTGGGCACCCCATCTTTCTGAGGATGGGATTCCTAGAGCCCTGATCCCAGCCTTTCAAGACTCCTGCTTGGCTCCGTGTACTCACCTTGAACTTCTTCCGGAACTCCCTCTCAGCTTTCTCTGCCTTCCTGATCTGTTTTAGCACCTTTGGATCCGTTGTCGGCAACGACTGTGGCTGGGGGGCCTTCTCCTTCCTGATGCCCCCGTGGAATTGGAGAGCTCATGAGTGAGGTGTGTTCCTCTTGGGTCCAGCTGCACCCTGTCCCACACCCTCTGCCCCTTGGTACCTGGACTCTGGTTCTTGTGGCGGCCTCCTGGCTACTTGCTGGGTGGACAGCACTTCATCTGGGGGCAGTCCAGAGCACGGAGTCAGGGAGGGACTGTCAGCTTCCACCCTCCAGGCTGACAGCTGATTTCGACTGAGTCCTCCTGTGTCAGTTCTTAGGACCTCCCCAAATCTGGGTGGCCGGATTGCCTCCAGACTTCTATCCTGCATATTTTCGCCCCAAGCCTTTCTCAGGTGCGGTCCGTTCTAGTGGATTGCCTTTCCTGTACTCAACTCCTGACGCAAGCTCATGGGGAAACCGCTTTACCATGTTAACTCACTTCAGTCCACACACTACCTGATTTATGCTAGTAGGTGATACTGTCATTACTGCCTTGCTGAATCAGGAAATGAAGGCTCAGGGAGGTCGAGCAGCCTGCCCAAGGCCACCCAGCTAGCTGGTAGGTGGTCGAGGCAGGAATTATTTGTAGGCTTCCGACGCCAATTTACTTTAGCCTTGTAGAGAAGGAATTGTAATAAGATTTGGGTCAAAGAACATCATGGGACCAGCAGATGATATAATGGTTACATCACTGGACTCCCACATAGTGAACCACGGTTCGAGTCCCGGACCCGGTGACTTAAAACTCAGGCCAGGCTTGTGTGCTTGTGTCATCAAGATCCCAAGGGGAAAATAGAAGAGAAGGGATTGCGGTCTGTCCATCCCGTGGGTGGGTGGGGGGTAGGTTTTCACTTTCTGTCTCTGTGTCTGTCTCTCCAGTGAGTACACCTGCCCTATAGCAAAAGTAACCCCCCCTCCCAAATTTTTTTTTGCAAAGGAAGGCGGCAACGAGTTTGCCTCTGAGAAGGGGTTCCTGTGGTGGGGTTCTTGGCTCATCCTGACTGGTGACGAATGAGACTCATCTGTGGGAGGCCCTACTGTGTTTGCTGCTTCTGGCAAACACCCAGGCTTCAGGAGCTCTGCTGACCAAGGTTGGTCCTGGAGCTTGAACCTTAGGCATCCCTGGATGTCACAGGCCAGCAGCCCTCCCCATCAAACAGCCATGGAGTTTTGGTGGCATATCCACCCACCCTGCCAGACATGGAGCTGAGCCTGATTCCTGCACCACTGTGTCATCCAGGCTCCCACCCAGAACATAGTCCCTCCAGCTGCTCCTGCCTCTCAGAGGTGGCCCTGGACATGGGTGGTCAGCCAGCTAGGAGCAGACGACTTTGGCAACCCAGGGCCCCTCCAGACCCACCGCAGCAGAGGAACATCCCTGGGATCTGCAGAGTAGGGCAGACTGGTTCACTTAGCATGACCCCGAGCAGGTCCCAGAGCTAGCCTGCCCCACGTGGTCTGCCCATCCTGGGAAAGGCTGTGCCCTGTACCCCTTGAGAAGAGCTGCTGTTGTCTGGGGACCTCTGGAGTGGAGCTGTTCTGCTGCTAGAGGCAGAGTATGACTGGGGGAAGTCCTGCCCCCCCTGCCGTGGGAGGACGGACATAAAAAGAGCACCGTTGCATTGGAGACAGTCTGTACCAACAGTGAGGCCCACGCGGCTTCCAGAGAAGGGAGGGATCAGACAAGTGTGGGATTTGAAGGGAGTCTTGAGTGACAAGGGTGGGGAGGGGGCTGTTGGGAAGGAGAGTATGTGCTCTAGGTCTGGGGTTGGAAAGAGGGAGCCCATCCTGACTTCCGAAATAGGGTGGGAGGACCTGCAGGGTTGCAGGAAGTAGAGAGCCAGAGGCAAGTTGTGCTGGTCTAGGGTGCTGAGCAGGCCCTTGCCCAGTCCACACCCCCAAGAGCAGCCCCAGACGCAGGCCACAGATCATGGCCTAGGGTGGAAGCCAGAGACCCTGCCAGGCAGTCATGAGCTAATGGGGGGGAGGTGTTACACCTGCTCACAAAAGTCCAGAAGCAGGAGGGGCCCAGGAAAGGCAGCTGGGTCTGTACCCCAACCCTGGCAGGTAGGAGAGCAGCTTCCTGAAGTCAGGGCTCTGAGCTCAGGTTCCCCAGGAAGAAGCCCTTCCCATAGATGAGGTGGGGAGGCCTCTCTGTGTGCTGGCTGTGTGAGCTGGGTCTAGCCACCTAGATCCTCAAAACTTGTGCACCTGTGAAATGGGGGTGACACTGCCATGGCAAGGGGTGAGAGTGCAGGTTCAGTGACAGCCACAGAGGCTATTCTGTGTTCAGAAGGCATTAGCCCTGGAGCTGGGTTGGAGGTGCAGGCCTGCTCAGCCTTCCCCTTGGCCTCTGGGAGCAGATACACAGAAGAAAGAGAAGGGTCAGTGCCCAGGAAGGTAGCCCATCCCAGGGGCTAGACAGAGGACAGGAGAGCTTGCTGGGCTGGAAATGGAACTTAACCTATGTCATGAGTTTGCTCACTGGCTGCCACCCCTGCCTAGACAGCCACTAAGCCTTGCTGGCCCGTCTGCAGGCCTCTGGGCTGCCGGCTGAAGCACCCCTCACTGGCTGTCACCCATCAGGCCCTCCTTCACACAGCCCCACCCACCCACCAGCAGCCAGGGAGACCTGGATTGTGGTTTGGCTTTAAAATGCCTTTGCAGTAAAGGTCAGCAACAAACCTCTGCTCTTGGGGCTGGGACTGGGCCTGGAGTTGTCCATGGGCTCCACGTCATCGTACATCTCATAGATCTCGTCCTGGTCCCTGCAGGGAGCCTTAAGATGAGGGCCACTTTTTGCCCTGCAACCTGTGCCTGCTCCCTGCACCCCCGACTCTCCCCACACTCACTGTGGGATGTTTTCAGGCTGCCGGGGCTGGAAGTGGATCCCGGCAGAAGAGCGAGTCCTCCGTAGAGCTGTGGGAGGGAGGGAAGCTGGCACTGCCCGAGGGCCTTTGCCTCCACCTTCCACCCCCCCCACCCCCATCGGCTTAGGCCAGCCACACTGACCCACCTGCGTTTGCTGCTGAGGGTCTCCAAAAGCTCTGGATATTCATGGGGCCTGGGGGCAGTGGAGGTTTGGCTGGAGGGGGTCCCAGGCTACTGGTGGGAGGCAGAGGCTTCCGCCGGGGAGGGCGTCCAGGTCTGAGGCTCAGCCTTGACCCTCCACTGTGAGCAAAGCCTGCTGACTTCTGGTGGGGTGTCCCTGCCACTCTGTACCCAGGGCTAAGCGGGAACCGGGGGCTGGAGCCTGCAATGGCTGTAGGCAGTGAGCTCTCAGAAACGGAGCCAGGGAGCAGGGGTTTTCTAGAAGGATCACCAAAGAACTCGGGCTGCAGGTGCTTCTTAAGCCGAGCGTTGGGCTCGGGCTGTGAAAATTTCCGGATTGGCCCTCTGCATTCAGGCTGTGGAAACTTCCTGGGAAGAGAACCGAACTCGGGCTCCGAGGATGTCCTGGGAAGACCCCCCACATCAGGTAGCAGGGGCTTCTTGGAGATGGCTTTCAATTCGGGCTGCCGTGGCCTCTTGGGAAGCACACAGACCTCGGGCTCTGAGGACGTCCTGGTTAGGTCACCAAACTCGGGCTGCGGTGGCTTTCTCGGCAGATCACTCAACCGAGGCTGTGGGGGCTTCTTGGGAAATGGCGGTGGGGAGAGGCGCAGGGGCTCGCTGGGCTCAGGTTTGGAGGGGATGGTCTGAGCCGCCTCACTGAAGTCAGGCTGCGGCAGGAACGCGGGGAGGCCCCCGGCCTGAGGCTGCGGGGGCTTCTTGGGGTATACAGTGAACTCAGGCTGTGGGGGCTTGGGGAAGGCACTGAGGTCGGGGTGCGGGGGGGGGAGGT